TCTTTCACTATGGATGTTATTTTTCCATTTTTGAAAATAAAACCGACATGTCCAGTACTATCCTTGTGCATGGTAATTGTCCGTTCAAAGGGCCTATAAACATGGCCAAATGATCAATGTAAGTTTTAATTCCTAGGTCAGCATTTTCATGGACCTCTTTAACCATAAATTCTGTGACACTGTGTCAGAATGAATGCTAAATACAACTTACGGCTGACACTGTGCATACACAGAATGCTTTACCCAACTAACTGAGATTTCCTTTAATCATCAGAGACAGCTGGACGTAAATCTTTACACAGTTTATTTATTGATACGCTTTTTCTTTAAAACTATTTTTGCACTAACAATGACATGGGTACTAAGTTATAGAAATAAAACTGAATTTTTGTAAGTAGTGTTTCCTGGAGCCTAATTTTTCTTATTTTTATAACTTAAAACCTTTATAGTATTCCTCACATCTTGATTTTGAAAATGTTATAGAAGCCCCCACTCCCATTTATTAAAGAGCTGTAGAAACAGTAAGATTTTAGTTTCCAAACCCCCATTTGGAAAGAAACACACACGGGTACTATAAAATGGCAGCCAACTCAGTAGCTATCAAATCAGTTTCACTTCATTGCTTATCTACAATTCAATCATGTTATAGGGGTTTGAGAATCAACCTATTTAAAATTCCTGTTACATCTTCCTATTGGTCTAAATTATTATCATCTGTAATGTATTTAGAACAGGGTCTACAGGGTCAACGCTAGTACATTGGACTCATGATTCTCCTGTTTTCAGCCTCCAAGCGCTGAGATTACAGAAGCATGCCACCACGCCCAGTCTCAGTGGCCATCTCCATGCCCCAGGAGTGGGGCCAGCACAGCCAAATTATTCTTTGAAATGTTTAAAATTTATAAATGAACTAAATGCCAGAGAACATTTCATCCTCTTAATAACAAAGGCTTAGGTTTTCAGAAGTGTACTTTGTGGAGTTCTTTATGGGCTCCATCCTGCACAGGAGGACCCCCGCAAATGTACGGCCTATGCTGGATATCTAAGGAGTGAACTGTGAGGCAGAGCCCGAGCTGATGTGCTGCTTCATTCTCTGAGATATTTCTATTTTCTAGAGCAACACAGACAGGAAAGTACCTAAAGGACAAATTAGTATTATCTCTGCAATCAGATGTTGTGTATAATCAGAATTTTAAAGTCTCAAACTATGTAAGAAAAACCTAGAGCACACAAGAATAAGACAGTAAGGCTCATCAGCAACATCCGTCATTTTCTACAAAATACTGTATCCACATGGACTAGCCTAGAATTTCCCTTGTAATACTTCACTAACACCTTACCTGTCGCGAATGGTCATGGTAATCTTCTCTCCGAAAGCCTGTTTGAGCACTTTGTGTGCTTTGTCCGAACTCCAGCCCGCACAGTTCTCACCATTGATCTGGAGGACTTGATCCCCAAATCTCAGACCAACCAGAGAGGCTGGAGAATTTGCCTGAACGAGCTGAACAAATATACCCTAGACAATGAGAACAGCACTGGTCACGTACTACTGCTATGATATAGTTAAAACAGTTCTGCAAAACAGAAAAAACTCAAGAGTTCACAAATCTACCCCGGTAACCAAGGAAAAAATACTGTATGATTATAATTTGTCAAATTACCCCCTAAAAACATGAAAATTAATTCCCTGTCCCTGAAAAATAAAGAGAAAAAGATAGTAATTTCTACCCTGAAATTAACGTAAGATAGGACAGATTTAATAAAGTCTGTGACTCTGACAATACCAACAGAGGTTAGCACATGACCATTATCTGGGAAGAAAGCAAGTCAAGTGTTAGAATTAGGCCGAGTTCTTTTATAGCTGTACAAATGACAGCTTAAGCCCACAATTCTGTCTTCTGAGGTCAAAGGTTCTTTAACCCATTTAATCAAGTATTCCATGTTTAATAGCCTAAAATGGTAAGTATGTTAACTATCACATGATCTCTTAAGAAAGACTCTCCAATTAAATAAATACAGATTTTCAAATACCAAGGTACTAAATCCACAACAGATACTTTTCTGGAAATTCAACAGATCCTGAAGCAAATATAAGCAAATGTAAACACCATCCTGACAAGGCAGACCTTTTCTACAGTCGCACGCTGGTCAGACATGACTTGTGTCATGGGTCTGCTGAGGTGGTGAGAAGTAGGTGGCACTGTGACAAATGGACTGACATGCTTTAGCCATGTGGACAACATGGTGCAGTGAAGGAGCTACACAGTGTCTTATCTTTTTAGGACAGAGGAAAGCAGACAAGAAATCCTGACGGAAGTAGCAGCACAAGAGAACGAGGACCTTTAGGTCAGTTTCCAAACCCAGCACGCTAGCGGTTTGCAAGGTTCCCCGTCTGCGAAGGCAACAGCTGCCCAGCCCTGCTAGGTGGACAGGTTAGGCCGTGGCTTCCTGCCAAGAGCACCCTCCTCTGCGCACAGCGTGGGAAGGCTGGACTCGGTGAGCTAACAGGACTCAAGACTGAAACCAATTGAGCACACCCTGAACAGTGTTAAACATTCTTCAGCATTAGCTGCTAAGGTAAAATAGCACTGATAAGGTCAACTAATGGCTGCCCTAATTAAAAAGAAACGTGACCTATCTCGTTTGCATTTCAAGGACAAGAACACCTTGCAAAGCCACCTCACAAATTGTAACTTGGCTTAAGACCAGAGACTATCCTCTTCTTGCTGCTGTTTCTCCTTCACTGTCACCAACACTGTCCTCCTTCAGTGCCAGGACTCTATTAACATAAACTACGCTGCGCATGCACCTAACTGCACACGTATGAGCAGTTACCTTTGTTAAAGCACTCAAAAATGAAAAAGATATCAAAGCCATGTGGTCAGAAGTTGTAATTCTGGCTTTTTAGGGCATCTCCCCGAGAGCAAACCGAAATGAACACACTTGATATCATCACTTGTACCATCACTTGTTTCATAATAATATATCACTCAACAATATAACCACCTGAACAGTGGTCCCTTGATATTCTTAATTCTGGATGCTCTGTTACCATTAAAGCACTTCCAGTCAAGTTATTCTAACACAGTCACAATATACTGCAGGGTATTGAGAAAAATCCAAAGATATTAAAAATACTTACATTGTCTACCGATTTAAGCCTGAGCCCAATTTTTCCATCTTGATCCTTACACAAAATGACTTCACGAATCCCTTGTTTTATTTCTGCTCTACGAATTCCAACATCGTTCCCTGTTACAGGAGCCACCATATAGTTCATGCTGGAAGGTCTTGCTACCAACTGCTGACAAAGGTAAACAACGTGTCAACACTTAGAAATAGTACCAACCTGAAGCGACTGACACAAAAATAGTGAATTATAGATTCCACAAGCTAATCCACAAATACAAAGTGACTAGCCATTCTTCTAGTAACTTATTTCCACATTCATCATCTCCTTAGATTCAATGACTTACCCTCTGTTGTCTTTTGAGCTGTTGACATTCGTTTCATGTGTATCATCACTTGTTTCATAATAATATATCACTCAACAATATAACCACCTGAACAGTGGTCCCTTGAGACGATGTCACAGCCACCTCCATCTGTGCAAGAGTATACTACATGATGTGTGCACAGTGATGAAATCTAATGAATCATTTCTAAAACATTTCTATCTCTAAACAACAAATGAGTATCATGAATGTACTGCATCTTTGCACTTAGAGGTCATACCATATGTGTGAAACACTTTCCAGAAGGTTCTTTATGAGGGCAAATAGATCTGACAGGGTTACCGTGAGAATTAAAAGGAAACTGCATGTTATATAGACAATAGAACATTTAATATAAATACTGTATCTCATCCTCTTTATATGGAGCAGCAAGTTGAATGCATAAACCAAACAGCCTTAGAATAGCTACGCTAGCCTTGTGCCAGGTACCACGTTTCAAGTTTCTCATTTTTACTACTTCTTTTAAATGAACACTCCTCGACCAAAGAACAGTGAGAGAAGAGCCCTCACTGGCTTCTGACTTGAAATTTGTCACAAAAAGACAGAAAAAGCCATGAGCTGCTAAGAATTGTGATGATTAGAGAACTAGTGACAGAAAGCAACCCAGCTACAAAAATATCAACATATTTAAAGCTGACAAGTGAATGAGAGTGGTAAAAATCCATGGCACCAGAAGTTACTGTAGTGCAAGTAGAATGCAGTACCAGAAGAAAGCACTTACAAAGGAATTTCAGACTTTGAAAGAAATTACAGCTGGAAGATACACAGAAAAGCACGCAATGCAACAGGCAAAGAAAAACTTGAGCAAATGAATTAAGTTATACTTCGTGTGCTTCAGAATTATAAATTCTGAATGAGTATTTTAAAGCGCAGTAAAATTCTCTCAGGACACAGCTAGAAAGATTTACTTACAAAGAAACTCTACAGCACAATGCTCTTGAGTTTAGGAGATGGACACATGAGACATAGTAAGGTCAGGGGCACTGAGGTAACTAGAATTTATAGCTAAATATATCTGGAAGGCAAAGAGCTATACCAAGACAGAGTTCCAGAAAACTGCACGGAGTCCCCCTACTCAATCTGCTGTCAGACACTAACCCAAGTGTACGGGAGGCGAGGCTCCATAGGACTTCAAAGGACAGTCAGGGCTCACAGCTCCCAGTCACATGAGGTTGAGGGACACCCAAGCATCCATCAAGCAGAAAAGAATGCCCGAAGAACAGACGCAATGTTTTTAGTCATGGAGATATGCTAGCGTCGAGGGCCATTCAACATGATCTTGGCAGGACAATCATAATTACACTGTGATCATGGCTTGTCTGAAGCCTAGAATCTTGCCAGCCTGGGCTGCCCCCAGGGCAAGACCACAGCAGCTGAAGACACTGGCTCCTTGAGAACAGAGTAGTGATAAAAACAAGGTTTCCCCAGGGTCAAGGGCTAAGTCACCAACCTGCCCTCTCCCCCTACCATCCTCATCGAAGCAAGCTCCTCCTCAGGGTAAGCCCCACCACAGCTCTCCAAGTCATCGGACGAGATACTCACCAACACAGGATCTCTCTCGGCATAAGACCACCACCCAATAATGCTCTCACCGTTTTCCTCAATGTAAATGGGAGCAATGCACACGTCCGTGGGACTGGCCACCCCAGATCCTCACTGCACTGCCATACTGTCTCTTGCTTTTTTTTTCGCTATGCAGTGTAACACCTTGCAGGAGACTGCAGCCCATGGCGGGGTTCTAGATACCATACTTTTACACAGCCCTGTGCTGACAAAATATACAGCAGGCTCCAGGGAATGGGGTGTGTGTGTGGGGGATCCCATGTAACCTAACCTCTTCCAGAGCAAGTAGCAGTACTCCAAGAAAATACAACAGCATCTAGCATCTAGGCTACATACGAGATGTAAAATTTGTGGTTTGACATCCAGTTAAAAATCAGGTGACATATGAACTGGAAAACGTCACACAATCAGGTGGAAAATTAACAGATGGAGACTCTATAATGACAGATACCACACAATTACCCAGATATGAAAATAACTACAATAAATATGCTCAATGTTTCAGAGCTTACAAGGCACTGTGTAAAAAAAAAAAAAAGACTTAAAAACTATAAAAACGAACCAGCTTTCCTTTCCTGACCCGTAAACTCAATCTTTACCAAAGGCGCTATGTGTATGCACAGGGAAGGGATGCGCTCTCCGGTAAGTAGTGTTGGGAAAGACCCACATGCAGGAACACAACTGAGGTTTACTGTACACCACAGACAGACGAACTCCAGAAAAGTTAAAGACAAGTATGAGGCTGAAATGACAATATAACTGAAAAACAATGAAGCTTCCTGACACTGGTCTTTCTTTCGTTACTTCTTTTCAATACTGTGAACCCAGCAGCAAGCATTAAGCTAGAGTCCTATCCATTTCCACTTTATCTGGAGACAAAGTCATCCTCCTGCCTCGGCTTCCTGAGATTACAAGCACACGCTGAATGTGCCCAGCTGGATGATAATCCTGACAGTGACTTTGTATGACACCAACATCACCAGCAAAAACATGAAAATAAAACAAGTGGGACACAGAACTAAAAAGCTGCTATAGAGCAGAGGAAGCAATAGACAAAAGGCAAAAGAAGCCGCTACAGAATGGGAGAAAATCTTGCAAATCGTTTATCTGATAAGGGGCTAATATTCAACATGTGTAAGAAACCCAGGGAGCCTAATAGCACAAAAGTAACCCACTTACAAACAGCAAAAGATCTAAATCGTTTCCCAGAGAGGGCATGTAATCAACCTACAGGTATAGGAAAAGGACACTCAAAACCATTCATCACCAAGACAACACAAATCGAACCCAAAAAATGAAATGCCACCTCACATTGCTGGACACCTAGAAGGTAATGCAGGGGAGAGGAGAGAGAAAGGGAACCCTGCACACACCTGTAAGTGGTAATATAAATTAGTATAACCACTATGGAAACTGGATGAAGGGACCTCAAAAAATTACCAGTGTAGTTACCATGCAACTCAGTAACTTTCCCTCTGGGTATGTGTTTACAGGAAGCAAAAGCACTATTTCCAAACGATGGCATCTGCCTTCCCACAATCATGGCAACATTCACAGTAGCCAAGATCTGAACACAAATGGCCACTGAGAAATACATGGATAAAGAAAATGTGGTGTTATATATAACAGATTATGGTTCAACCCTAAAAAAGCAAGCAATTCAGCCAGCTTAAGACAATGTAGATGAAGCTGGACATTTAACTGAAATAAGCTCGACAGAGAAACATAAATTCTATACTGTCTGATCTTTCAGTATGTGAAATCTAAATACATCAAACTTGGGCTGGAGAGATGGCTCAGTGGTCTAAAGCACCTACTTGGAACAAGCTTGGCAAAGCACAGGGACCGCGGTTCAATCCTCCAGCACCACATGCCAGCCAGCCGCGCCCCCTGGTGGGCTGAGCTGGCCACACACACACACACACACACACACACACACACAATAAATAAATGTTTAAAAAAAAAAACATCAAACTCACAGAAGGAGAAACTGGAAAGGTTACCTGGGACGGTGAGGGAAGGGAACTGAACAGAAAGATGCTGGTCACAACGTACTGACTTTCAGTTCTGACACAAGTTAAAGGATGTACTGCACAGTGTGGTGGCCACTCACTGCCATGCTGCATACTTAGATTTGCTGACAGAAGACACTGTTCTCACCACACCCCAAAAAGGGAACCCGTGAAGTGGCAGCTGGGCTTGTGATCGCTGTAAGAGTACCATTTGCAAAACAGACACACACATTCCATGCACCTTGAAAACATACAATTTGGATTTGAGAGTGACACCTCACTAGAGCAGGTGGGAGAGGGACAGATGGAACACCAAGGGAAGCACAGCACAGTATGTGAAAAGAAGAGTTCACTAAGTAGAGTTAACAAAAACCTCTAGAGATAAATATAACAAAAGAGAAGAATCAAAGCTTGGAAGAATTACAGAAATGTAGATATTTAAAAGATATACACTAGGTATGGAGGGCCCAGTAGAACTGTTTATTAAGGGCAAAGAAAACAAAAACACACGTAGTAAACAAAGAAAGCACAAATATTAACAGAAGAACCATAGGAACTGCAGCCATCTTTTCTTATACTTGTAAATGTTCTGTAAATACAGCAATCTGGCAATCTTTGTCTGTCATATTTCCTTTCACATTTTTTCGTTCTGGGATTCAAACTCACAACCTCCCACTTGCCAGGCAGATGCCATGTCACTGAGCTAAGTCCCCAGCCCTTCCTTTTACCTTTATAAAGGAATTATCTGTAATGGTTAGCTTTACACTTCTGCCTCTGAGATAAAAATATTAAACTTGGAAAGGGAGTACTTCCAGAGGGGTAATGAATACTACACTGGTACTCAGTACCAGAAATAACCACTGCTCAGACAGTGTCACAACTGGCATGCGCCCCTTCTAGAGAAACGGTGCGAACATTCATTTACATTAGGGGTAACTGCCTTGCTCAATTTTGTACACCCATGAGCTTGCAGGAGTTTTAAGGGCTACAAACAAGACAGCTATAAAATAAACTACCATTAATGCCTCAAATAAATGTGCTACAGCTCTTTATAAAACGGTTTGCTAAGCCTTGATTTTTATGAAAGGGAACACATCTTTTATTAAGGGCAAAGTGTATCATTGCTATTGCTGTCACTGAAATCAAAGTATTACCAGAAGTGCACGGCTAACCCACGCAGTCTGCTGGTACCAGCTAACAAGCTACTATGTCAGCTCCAACTCCATGCTTCCATTTCCTACTTTCTACTCGGTGACGCTGGGCTAGAACTGTTCACACTACACTTTCCTTGGACAAGCCGTCCCTTCCTGCTCCTGGAAGGGTGCCCCAGCTTCGCCCTGAACCCAGGCCGCAGCAGTAGTCTGCAGGCTCTAGCTTCTCCAGACACTCTTAAACCAGCCTCATGCAAGCCCTCAGAGCTCCAGGCGTCCAGCAGCGTCCCCTCCTCTTCTAAGGTCTGAGCGCAGCTCTGCAGGCCTGCACCTAAGCACCAGGTTCTCATTAAACCTTCTCCCTGCACAGGAGAAGGAACTGATGTCCTACAATTATATTTGCATTCCATTTTTATTTTCTCAATTTATCCCAATGAATATTTACCTAATTTCCCAAGTTATCTTTGAACTATTACAATTTATTTTCCTAAAAGAACTTTTACTGATACAATCAAGTTTTCAGTAAGTATTGGGTAAAGAAATAAATGCTAGGCACTGCATTGAGCACAGGGGTCACTGCAGGTGGAAGACACGGAGGCTGCAATTATAACCAAGGACCATAAAGTGCTATGGTCCAATAGCAACAACTTTAATAAAAGGTTATCAGGTGTGTTATGGTTTGTGTCTAGTTGTCCCCACAAAGCCTCATGCGGTCATGCGGAGGGGACTTCTAGAGTTTGTGACTAACTCTTGATCCACTGGGATTATGAGTGACCCAAGGCTGGGATTATGGATTTTAGAGCTGCTGGGAGTATGGGTGTGTGTACTTGCCCCAGCCTGGGGCAGAGAGCCTGAATGTAACATAGGAGAGACAGAGAGACAGACCTCTCTTTGTTGTCACTGTTGCTGCAACGCCTCCCTTGGCTCCTTTTGTTCTCTGCTGCCACCAGGAAAGGTTGCTCTCTGCCATGTGCCGCTCTGCCTTGGAGCCAGCCAAGGATGGACTGAAACCTCCAGTAACCATGAGCTAAATAAACCTTTCCTTCCTCCATTTTGGGTGTCGGGTATTTGCCCCAGCAATGAGAAAAGTAACTGAGACAAGGTGTGTTTAAGTCTAGAATATATATATAGTCTGATCACAAGCAGCTCTGGATTTCAGAGAAAGTTAAAAGATGAACAAAAAAAAATTTGTGTCTGTATTTATAATGGTTAATCTAGCAACACTTTAAACAAGAAATTATAGAAAGTACAAAAGATGATTCTTAAAATCTACATTAAAAGTAGAGAAATTCACTACAGTTACAGCATGACTGGAACAGACAAAACTGAACACAAGAAAAATGACAACTGGCATCACTAGGTCTCTCTGTAACTGAAGACCAACGAGAACAGAATGGACTGGAAAAGGCATTTGCATTTTTAAGTCTTAGTAAAGCCAAAGGCTTAGCAACACAGAAGCAGGTAACCTAAGTAACATCCGCTGTTGTTCACATGAGGCTGGCTGCACCTCAAGATTCTCACGTAGACGCAACATCCAGAAGAACTCTTAAGATCTGAGGAGAGAGGTTAAATCTCAAGCTACAAGGCTGTGGCTCAAGCTACAGAGAAAGGAGCTCATCTGTAAGAAGTGTGACTTCATCCAAATCCAAATTCATCACACTGCACATACCCCCTGCACTGGCGCTCCAGGGACCATGGCACACACTTCTTCTTCATTTAAACTTAAGCCCATGTACTGAGAAAGCTCTGGATACAGCTTGGGATAGAGATCTAGAACGAAAGATGAACAAACAAATGAAAAAAGCAATGGCAAAATACTCAAAATGAACACTTCCATTATGGCTTTCTCCTTTAAGTCATATATCTGAATTTTTAAAAGTAGGATATTTAAAACAAAAATTTGAAAGAGCGCCTCATCTATTTAACAATGAAAATGAAAACTACAGAAAATATTTAAGGGGATAAAATGTAAGTTATGAACAATCTGAACTGGAACAGACAACAGCCCCACTGAATTCCTGCACCAGGACTGGTGCACCACAGCGGCCCCAACTGCAGGTGTTTACGGCACAGTGATCTTCCCACGACCTCTGTGGACTGTAAACCATACTGGACTGCTTACTGTACTATGTATCATGCAAATGGCCTACAGATGACTGTTGTTTAGAGAACAAGGACAAAAAACCTCTGTACATGTTCAATTTTATTTTCACTCGCAGGTGGTCAAATCTCTGGAACCCATGGACACAGAGGGCCATCTACTCAGAAGAGAAATAAGGGGTTGAGAAATGGCTCAGTGGAATAAGTGCTTGCCTAGCAAGTGCAGGGGCCTGAGTTCAGTACCCGGTTCTGCCAAAAAAAAAAAAAAAAAAAAAAAGGGAGCAATTTTTCTAAATAAAAGTATCTTGCCTTTTCTGTTTCGTTTTAAAAACATTAACCCAGCCATGCATGGTGACAGACATGCTGCTGAGGAGACTGCAGTAGGATGGCCACAAGTTTGAAGCCAGCCTAGGCAACTCAGTAAGACCTTGTCTCAAAATAGAAAGTAGATAGGGCTGTGGATGTATCTCAGAGATGTACGGGTTCAATTCTTAGTACCTGCCTCTACCTTCAGAAAAAAGGCAAATACAAATGAAATCTTAGAAACATTCTTTTTAGGTATTAACAATATCTATTTAATCTGTTAGGTAGTTATATACTATGTCTTCTGTTCTTTTAATAACTTATTTGTTAAAGAATACAAACTAGTAGTTAAAGAAAACCCATGAGAAATGATACAACATTTCACTAAACAAAGCAATAGGATGAGCTGGAGAGAGAGCTTAGCAGACTAAGTGCAAGCAGAGACCAGGTTCTGTCCCCAGCCACATGCCACTGGCCTAGCCTCCAGCGTGCTGAGCCAGCCACTGAGACCCAGTGTGGTGGTGCATGCCTGTAATCCCAGCACAGGGGAGGCTGAAAACAGCATCACTACAAGTCAGAATGTGTAGTGAGATCCTGTACCAAATAAAAAATTAATTTAAAAAATAACAGGAATTCAACAATGGTTGCTGTATTGCATGATGTAATCTTCCAATTAGTTGTTTAGGTTACCAGACATAAATGTGCAAAACTGGTTTAAAACAAAACAAAAAAGTTGTAAGAAATTAAAAATAAAAAATTTAAGCTACATGCTCCTTTCGAAAGACCAGCAAAAATTGAAAGTACAATTATCATCCCCTCCTTCCCTCCCTCCCTCCCTCTCTTTCCTGAGCTATCTCCCTGGCCTCTCTTTTTCCCTTCTTTCTTTTGTCCTTTCTTCATCCCAGTTTTTCTACCTCATTGAACAAATTCTCTCCCTTTAGTATTATCTGTTGTATCTTTCAGATTTTATTTACTCTTTCAGGTTCTCACACTAGCAAGACAATACGATGTTTGTACATGTGGGTCTGATTTATTTCACTTACCAATACAGTCTCTAGTTGCATCCATTCATCTAGAAATTTATCTAGCGTCAAACTTATTTTTTTTATAGCTGAGTAATATTTTGTTGTATAAAAATACTGTATCTTTCCTATCCATGCCTCAGTTGATGGACATCTGGTTGTTTGCAACATTTAGCCATGACACATTGTGTTGTAATGAACATGGCTGTACATGTATCGCTGTGTTACAATGATTTTGGTTCTTTTGGAAAGATACTTTGGAGGAAAATGGCTGGGTTGCAGACTTCCCATCCTAGTTTTTGAGGCCTCTCCACAGTGGTTTCCATAGTGGTTGTATCAGTCTGTATTCCCACTAACAGCAGAGGTTCCTTTAAGAATACGCAGCGCTTCATGAACTTGCATGTCCCTCTCGCGCAGGGACCACGCTAACCTCTGCATCATTCCACTTTTAGCATATGTGCTGCTGAAGCGGGCAGTCACGTACTATTTCTAAAAGCTCTTTTTTCCTCCCCATGATCTGTTCACGACTTAAGAGTATTTTTTAAAAGGAATAATACTGTAATATCTGTAAAACAAGGTGACGAACCATAAAAACAAATTTAATATTAACTTTGCATCTTTAAAAATCCTGTTATTTTGAGGCTCTGGTCAGAAGCCCTCTGAACTCTGAAGAGACCAAAGACAGGGTACAGAAACCAAAAAGACTCCTTGAAGTCCCCTAAAAAGTGCTTAGGAATTTCAGAAGCTCCCCTGGAAGAGAGAAGTCTGCACAGGAAGCTCAGGCTGGGAGCGCAGGGACCTGGTCCTAGGCCAGGCTGTGCACAATGAGCCCAGGCTTGTGTGGGCAGTTAAGAGGCTCAGCTCGATTTGCACTGACCCCAGAACACCATATTTAGCTCACTGATCAAAGGATTTTTCAAGTATCAATGTTTCTCTACTGCTACTAGATCATTATACACGACTTTATTTCCCTACCTCCAAACAAAACCAAAGGAAACAACAGAAAAAAGAAATCTTGGATTTTCTATTACAGCAAAAGACCTAACAATTATGTCTGTTCTGGAAGAATAAACCCAAAGCATAAGCTTACTTCCATCTTGGGAGATGGGGGCAGAAGCTTCCAACAGAACTGCTGGGTTGGCAGGGTTTGCAGAAAAGGCAGTCTGAGCCTAAAAATGAAAAAGAAAAAATTGAACATGCTGTAAATACTTGGTGTCCTTATACAATTTACAGGTTCAATCTAACGCTTCTGAAAAGAAACACACCGGATGCATTATCCAACAATGCTTTATTTCAAACACTTCAGCAGTAAGTTTTTTTGGAGGAAATGTGCGTATCAAAAGATACATTTCATATTCTAAATAACTTTAAGACTATCTTACAACTGAATATTTGTATATTATGTATTATTTTATAACAGCATTTAAAAGAATGGTTCCAAATCAATATTCTCAAAAAGCATTCTAAACTGACTAGTAACACATTTTATATTTTCATTATTCTTTTACTGATTAGTCAAATAAAAATACTTATGTAGGAAAAAGCTCAACCATATTCATATAAAAAGCTACACGTAAGAAAAAACGTGTAATTTATATTTAAACTGCTTTATCCCTTTAGCATATCTAAAATAATCTTTACCAAATATAGAAGTTAATTATAGACTGCCAAAAGCACATACTTGTCAGTGATACAAAAGATGATAATGTAACTTGTAACACTGAATATGTCAAAATTACTGAGAAGTAAGCAAGCAAAAGCGTTACTCATGCTCAGATAGATTTGTCCCTCTTGCAAGGTTTCATGACCTATGTCACATTAAGTATTCCACTGATGGAAATATTTCGTGCTTTACAGACAGAACTATCTCAAATAACCATGTGAGTTTATTTTATTTTTTCTCTTTTTATTTTTTCCCATAATTTTATTGATAAACAAATAGTAATGAGTCAGTTTCAAATCAAATTGATAGGAAAGTTTCAATAATTAACACACTGCATTCTTCCTAGTGGTTAATTGCTGCACAAGATGCAGACAGGATATCCTAACACCATTAGAACAAATCACTCTATTCATTGAGAGAATGTAACTATACATCTATCCTAACCACTTTGAATACACAGATAAAAAATGGACATTCATCTCTATCCCCTTTTTTGGTTAAGGTCCATTATTTGAATATTATAGGTGTGTAAACTCAGCAAAATATTCGAAAAGAGTCCAGTAGCCCATAATAGTACTGGGTCTTCCGCTTGACTGGCAATATCAGAAATTGTTGACCTGAGTCCCCCACAGCTCGACATAACAGCATGGCTTTACTTCTTACATTTCATTTTTATACTTTTCTGCTGGATGGTTAAGACCAAGGTAAA